CTTAAACAATTAAAAAATTAAACTCCGGCCAAAATTATATATAATGCGGCCAAAATTTTGTCGATCACAGCCGTTGGCCAATCAAAATTGAGGTTCAACCTCGCGCAACTAGATTTAATAAATCCCGCGCGGGATTTTTTGAAAAACCGCGATTTGCCCATCTCTAATGTTGGATATTGTTATCAATATGAAAGTGGAGTTGAAAAAGATGAACATAAGGCATTCATTTATTATCAAAAATCTGCAAAGATGGGAAGTGCTAGTGGAATATATGGTGTTGGACGTTGTTATAGAAAAGGTATTGGAGTTGAAAAGGATGAACATAAAGCATTAATTTACCATCAAAAATCAGCAGAGATGAGGGTTACTAAAGGAATATATATGGTTGGTCATTGTTATAAACATGGAATAGGAGTCGAAAAGGATAAACATAAGGCATTCGTTAATTATCATAAATCAGCAGAGATGGGAAATGGTGCTGGAATGTTTCAAGTTGGATATTGTTATCAATGTGGATATGAAGTTAAAATAGATGAATATAAGGCATTTATTTATTATGAAAAGTTAGCTAATAGTAAATGCAAACAAATAAATAAAGTTTGATATTTTTAGAATTTTTCACAATAATTAACACTATATATAACTGCTAGATAAATCAAAAATTGTTAAAAGAAAATATAAGTAATTGCACCTATAATTAATTACATGTGTGATTATTAAAATTTGTTAATGTAGATAATTGAATCAAACATTTGTATTATACTTGAAGCTGTTATTTATTCATTTTTCAACTAACCAGATCACCTGCCAAAAACATCAACTTATATTTATGTTTTGTGTAATAAAATTCAGGTGGATTTGATTATATTGTTACAGGTAAACTCGACCTTGGGATATTAGAAAACTATTGCGAGATGACCCCCGAAACGCCCCATGAAAAACCGAATGCCGTGATCTCGAATAAATGAACGACGATCCCCTTGCAGTGGAATGTACAAGCCGTAGATCCCATTGTCGAGAAACACTTACCCGATATAGCTTGACATCTGTCAAGGTAATATTACCTTGACAGGAAAAGCATGTGGCCGTGTATGTGCGTCCCCAATCGATCGTATGGCTATGGGAGTGAGAACATTAGTTGGAATGCAAGAAAGAAGCGCTAAACGATCGAATAGTGAGGACTGTGAAAGTAAACGGCTTGGAGTCCATGGAGAAATGTGTGTTAAAGCCATAGGAAACGTTCGAAATTCTCTCAAAAAAATCTTTATAAATAGACGGTAGATTCCCTCTTGTAGTAGGAGAGTTTGTGCTCTCTACATAATAAATAAATCTTATTAATAAAGGCTCCTTAACCCACAAATAAATAAACGTTCTTTAAAGATACTACCCTTATCTTGTAACGTGCTCAAAGCTGCCTTAATCTGTGCCAAATCGTAAACCGCCTCGACTACCCTTTGAGTAACGTTACGCGTCATAACCTTTTCTCAAGCGACAATTCGTCGCATTTGTGTTCTCGCCCTTCTAGCTTCTAACAATATTAAAATTTTAGGTACTACTGTTTTATTTTTTCGACGTCATATTTTCATTTCCAACATTTTCACCTTTTTATTTTTTAGACATTATAAGTTGAGATTTTTTATATAATTGTCGTGACCTTAGCACTAGATTGAATTTAACACTAGATTGAAGTTGCGCTTGAGTGAAATTAGCCCCTGAAATTAGATCATCTTGCACGCATAATAGTTAGCAATTTTAGGCGCGTGTAACTTCAATCTACTGAAGTTGCAATTTCAGCCGGGTGCCAACTTCAGACATATGAGTATTCTTTATGTTTACTAGATTAATGAAATAAAATAAAACTGGTAAATGTCATGAATAGCTTAAGTTAAATTTAAAATTAAAGTTTAAGGTCTTGAGGTTAAAGTTCATTTGCCATTACCGATAATATGTTGTGTCACCCGACAATGATCTACAACACGTATTATTAAATAGTAGTACAAAGTGCGTTTTTATCTGCAAATTCAGATTTTGGTTCTTCTTATATTTAAAAATGGAGAATTATAATAATTCGGTTCATCATAAGCAATTAACTGAATTAGATCCTTATAACCTAGGATATAATTATCAACATGGAATTGGAGTTGAAAAGGATGAACAAAAGGCATTCATTTATTATCAAAAATCAGCAGAGATGGGGAATGCTACGGGAACATATAGTGTTGGGCGTTGTTATAGAAAAGGTATTGGAGTTGAAAAGGATGAACAAAAGGCATTCATTTATTATCAAGAATCGGCAGAGATGGGGAATGCTAGTGGAACATATATGGTCGGATATTGTTATAAAAAAGGTATAGGGGTTGAAAAAGATGAATATAAGGCGTTCTTGTATTATCAAAAATCTGCGGAGATGGGAAATGTTAGTGGAACATATAGTGTTGGGCGTTGTTACAGAAAAGGTATTGGTGTTGAAAAGGATGAACATAAAGCATTCATTTATTACCAAAAATCAGCAGAGATGGGGGATACTAAAGGGACATATATGGTTGGTTATTGTTATCGAAATGAAATTGGAGTTGAAAAGAATGAACATAAAGCATTCATTTATTATCAAAAATCTGCAGAGATGGGAGATGCTAGCGGAATATTTGCACTTGGTAACTGTTATAAAGATGGAATTGGTGTTGAAAAGGATGAACAAAAGACATTCGTTTATTATCAAAAATCAGCAGAGATGGGGAACGCTACGGGAATATATAATGTTGGATATTGCTATCAAAATGGAATTGGAGTTGAAAAAAATGAGCAAAAGGCACTATTATATTATCAAAAATCAGCAGATATGGGAGACAATGATGGAATGTTTCAAGTTGGATATTTTTATCAACATGGAATTGGTGTCGAAATGGATGAACAAAAGGCATTCACTTATTATCAAAAATCAGCAGAGATGGGGAATGCTACTGGTGCATATAATATTGGATATTGTTATCAAAAAGGGATTGGTGCTGAAAAAGATGAAAGCAAGGCATTCTTATGTTATAAAAATGCTGCAGAGATGGGGAATCCTGCGGGAATATATAGCGTCGGATATTTTTATCAAAAAGGAATCGGAATTGAAAAGGATGAACATAAAGCATTCATTTATTATCAAAAATCTGCTGAAATGGGAAGTGCTAGTGGAACATATAGTGTTGGGCGTTGTTATAAAAAAGGTATTGGAGTTGAGAAGGATGAAAATAAGGCATTCATTTATTATCAAAAATCAGCAGAGATGGGAAATACTACGGGAACATATAAAGTTGGATATTGCTATAGATATGGGGTAGGAGTTGAAAAGGATGAACATAAGGCATTTATTTATTATCGTAAATCAGCAGAGATGGGAAATGATTATGGAATGTCTCAAGTTGGCTATTGTTATCAACATGGAATCGGAGTTGAAATAGATGAATATAGTGCATTTGTTTATTATAAAAAGTTAGCTGATAGGAAATGTAAGCAAAAGAAATAAAAAATTCGATATTTGTAAAAGGTAATTTCTATTTGTGCACGATGTGTATGTGCACAGGTATATAGAATGCATGATCTGACGTAACGTAAAATTATTGCTTCCCTTAACAAATTGCTTATATCTTAAAAAATCGAATATGTAACCGCTCTAACAAAAAAATTTCTTGTAGAATTTAGTATAAGTTATCGCCCTACCCCAACTTTAAGCTTAGCAAAGCTTTACTTTTTTTGTAAAATTGCTGTACACAGGTTTGCCCGTGAACAATACACTACATGTAAACTTAGAAATATTCTTTTTACAATATTTAAGATATTTAATGATGTATATAACTACCGTACGGTGTGGACTAAAATACCAGTGTACTTTACAACTTAAGCTGTATATATAGGTATTATAGGGATGGATACTATGGTCAGCGTAGGAGGTATAAGTTGCACTATATAAGTGCCGCAATAATATTTTGCAATTAATCCATCTTTAGTACCCGGGTATTTTACGTTTCCAAGTGTAATTAATCCATCCTTAGTACCCGGGTACTTTACATTCTAGACCTCCGTAAATCGTGAGGGTATTATAAAAGGTCTTTTAGTCCACGCTGTACGGTACTAGATAATTACTGTATTGTCGCCCCGGGGTGTAGGTTAAATTTTGGCCTGAATTAATCGTAATTCGGCCTAAATTAAGCTTAATTCAGGCCAAGTTTAAACCTACACCCCCGAGCGTTATTTCGAGACAATTGTTAAAATAGAATGTCAGTGATTGAACCTATGATTAAATTGTGATTTGATGATTAGAAGTTGTCAACATTCTTATCTACAGCTAAAACTCGATATAGCGAAGTCTACATTCTGACTTAATGCCTTCGTTATATAGAAATGTTCGTTTATTAGATGTTTATTAGACTAATGCAAATAAAATAGAACTAGCAAATATCATGAACAGCTTAAATTAACAATCAAAAATTTAAGGTGTCGAGATTAAAGTTCATTCAATATTGCCAATAATAGGTTGTGTCACTTGACAGTGATGTACAATATTATAAAATGGTAGTACAATTGCATTTTAAAACATTTACGCTGCGAGTTCAGATTTTGTTTCTTTTTATATATAATAAGCAAAATGGAGAGTTATAATAATTCGGTTCATCATAATAAATCAACCGAGTTAGATCCTTATAACTTAGGATATAATTATCAATATGGAATTGGAGTTAAAAAGAATGAGCAAAAGGCATTCATTTATTACCAAAAATCAGCAGAGATGGGGAATGCTATGGGAACATATAAAGTTGGTCGTTGTTATAAAAAAGGTATTGGAGTTGAAAAGGATGAAAATAAGGCATTCATTTATTATCAAAAATCAGAAGAGATGGGAGATGCTATGGGAACATATAATATTGGACGTTGTTATAAAAATGGTATTGGGGTTGTAAAAAACGAACATAAGGCATTCTTTTATTATCAAAAATCAGCAGAGATGGGTAATGTTAGAGGAACATATAATGTCGGATATTCTTATTTAAAGGGCATTGGAGTTGAAAAAGATGAACATCAGGCATTAATCTATTATCAAAAATCAGCAGAGATGGAAGATGCCAGTGGAACATATATGGTTGGATATTGTTATGCTAAAGGAACTGGTGTTGAAAAAGATAAAAAAAAGGCATTCATCTATTATCAAAAATCGGCGGAGATGGGAGATTGTGATGGAATGTCTCAAGTTGGGTATTGTTATCAATATGGAATTGGTGTCGAAATTGATAAACAAAAGGCATTTATTTATTATCAAAAATCAGCAGAGATGGGAAATGCTACTGGAACATATAGAATTGGACGTTGTTATAAAAAAGGTATTGGAGTTGAAAAGGATGAAAATAAGGCATTCATTTATTATCAAAAATCAGCAGAGATTGGAAGTGCTACGGGTGCATATAATGTTGGGCATTGTTATAGAAACGGTATTGGAGTTAAAAAGGATGAGGATAAGTCGTTCATTTATTATCAAAAATCAGCAGAGATGGGTAATGTTAAAGGAACATATAATGTTGGATATTTTTATCATTATGGAATTGGAGTTGAAAAGAATAAACAGAAGGCATTCAGTTATTATGAAAAATCAGCGGAGATGGGAAATGCTAGTGGAACTTACATGGTTGGATATTGTTACAAATATAGAATAGGAGTTGAAAAGGATGAACATAAGGCATTTATTTATTTTCAAAAATCATCAGAGATGGGAGATATTAGTGGAACATATATGGTTGGATATTGTTATACATATGGAATAGGAATTGAAAGAAATAAATATAAGGCATTTATTTATTATCATAAATCAGCGGAGATGGGAAGTGATTATGGAATGTCTCAAGTTGGGCATTGTTATTTAAAAGGAATCGGAGTTGAAATAGATGAATATAAAGCCTTTGTTTATTATCAAAAGTTGGCTGATAGAAAATGTAGTTTAAAGAATAAAGGTTAAATATTCATAATAATTGTTTTACATACGAGATACGTCATCATTTACACTTTTTTGTACGCCAATTATAGTTATAAATAATCTTAGGCTAATACTTTTTATTAGCTTAATATTATTTAAGGTTATTGTTATCGTAAAAGTTTATTGGCAAAAGATCAGTAAATAATTGTTTTGATTTTTTAATTGTCTGCTTTAATTTTGTTAATATTACAGTTATAATTACTCAGTTTGTTCTATGCAAAAAATATGTAATTATAAAAATTTTATTATGATGTGCTTATATAGAAGTATTTTT